ACTTTTTATAAAAATAATAATATTTTTTAAAAAAATACTTAAATACTTTTTTTTTTTTTCTTAAAAAAAATCTTTTTTTTTTTTTTTTTTTTTTTTGGTTTAATAAATAAATGGTTTTTTTTTTTTTTTTAAAATTATAATTTGTAAAAAAAGAAAGGCTAATTCATAGTTTTGGTCATATGATCAATACCAAAGATAGAAACCTTAAAGACCTTGCACTGTTGATAGATTTTGACAATTTTAAAAAAGATCTTGAAAATATTATTAATGATGGAAGCTACCATTCTGATGAAATTTCAAAAACAGATGTTGAATTTACGAAGGCAGAAAAATGACAAAAAATAAATCCAAATAAAAAGATTTAGAGTAAGTAAGCATTTTATTATTTTGTTTTAAATTTATTTATTTATTTTTCATTCTATTTTAACTATAGATTAAAAAAATTTTGTGATTGGCCGATAAAATAGGAAAAAAATATCCTACATTAAATTGTCAAGAAAGCAGTGATACAATGACAACAGATGGTCGATAAATCAAAGCCTCCAAATGATGCTTCTGAGTGGTCCATTTCTGCTTCTTTCATTCTGGAAAAAGACGATAATGATGAAGAAGAAGTAGTTCCAAGTTAGTGGTAGCGGTAACAATAATGGAAGTGCAAAAAGCACCAGAAGAAGCACTAAAGATGATACCAATGGAAATTATGATGAATTGTATGATGATTACAATAAATCCCAGAATGAAACCAACAATAATAGTAAAGAATATGACAATTCTGGCAATGCAAATGATATTTTCGATAAATAGAAATTCTACCAAAACAGCAACGTATTATTTTTTTATTTTATAGCTTTAGATATCATACTATATATAGTTGATATAGCATATTTTTTGTAAAAAAAATTATATTATTTGTATTAGTATTAGCAATTGCATAATATGTAGAATATACAAATTACAATTGAGATATTGCTTTCAATAATATGAGTTATACTTTCCTATTATAAATAAAAGTTATCAAATTATGAATTGATAAATTTATAAATTAGTAAATAGCTCTATTGGATATACTGATAAGTCTCTAAAAAAAAACTGATAAGTATCTGGTATTCTTATGTTTAATAGAACTACAAGATACTTATCAGGTTTATCTAAGAATATTATCAGGATCTCTGATAAAACTATGAATATTATAATAAAAGATGCCTAATAATTACTGAAAAGTCTCAGATTTGTGCCAAAAATCTGTTTCAAATCAGTTACTTATTGGTAATATTTTAGATTAATTTAGGAGATAGTTGTCATATACATATCAGTGACTTTTAGAAGACATATTGGCATACTGATAAATATCTGGTATGGCTTCATTTGAGACCTGTATTACTATTACTAATTATATTAGTTAGTTATTAACAATTATATGTGATTACAAAAAAATCTGTATCTAATGAAACAATGTAATAGCTATTACAAATAAAAGGCTAATGTGACAAATTAGTAATTATGTGTATTATAGTAATTTGTACAAATGTCTAATTCAATTAACTTTAATATTTTGCTTTCAGTTTATTTTTCAATATACTATACACTTTGTTTCACTATATTTCTGGTATTATATAATAATTTTTAACATTAGATTGATGTTTGATAACAGTTCAAGATTTAATTAATTCTGGCTTCAGTAGTTTTATTATTTTCAGATGCATTAGTAGTATTGGTATTTTTAGATGCTTCATTAAATTCATTTTCATA